GCGGTACGAAAGATTGGTGTGTGTGGCTTGCTCGTGTCTACACCGTGGAAATATTTCACATATTTTTGTTAGGAATTAATCCAACCCGTAATACTCGTTGGCCAACGTGTTCACCGCTGAAAATTCTCTTGACAAACAACCCTCTCGGCTGCATTCGTAACCCCGGCTCGCTAAAGGGTGCGTCGCTTTTGTGTTTGTACGCTTCTCACGCGTGCATACGACCAGGGAGCATGCGACCACGCGTACAGAAGCGGTGAAAACGCGGGGAGATTCGACGAAATGGTCAGCAGTAACCTCCGCCTCTTCCTCGGCAACCCCACGTCCCGTTTGCAATCCCTTGCACTCGTAACGCGCACCTCTATTCGTAGCGTATGAAATTCCTCAAGTTTGCCCAGGGACAGAAATTAGTTGGAGCGACGTAATTGCTCGAATGTATGTGTTGGGCCGTTAACGTTATGGCACCTCTCATTACCGTCCTAACAGCAGCTGACACAAACAGCAGACGGGTTCATCCCGCGTGTACGGTTTATATATTGCGGGGACAAAAATTTAAGCGTTGTCCTGGGAAATCCGGGAAAAATTCAACGATAAATTCGTGTCCCTTCGACCCTTTTTTTACACGAACGTTACGCGTTCCAAGAGCAAGAAAAAAGATAGACATCGTTAAGAGGGTCTTTGTGTAATTTCACTGTTACACGTTTACGTTAACGAGTACGACAAACGGGAACGCTGTTTAATTAATAGTTTTTATTGATAATACATCGGTCCTCACAATGGTCCTCATTTCGTTGGCAATCATTATTCGAGATTGACGCGGCGAGTGAACGCTGACAAATTATTGTCATTCCATTGGGTCATCCCGTTAGTCATGATTAAGCAAATTTCATACCCGAGCTATTAATATTAGAGTGGTTGACCGCGCGATGTCCACAAAATTCCCTTGGCTAGTATAGAATGCATATACTGACCCGACAACTACCACCCACTAGCAAACTTCCTGAACTTGATTAAACCGGAAAAGGTTTCAGCTGCTGCGTCCACGTTGAGAGATGCCTTTGTTTCAGACAGTTAAACAGTTAATTGTTGCTTGGTATGATGTAAAATCGTGTTTCCAAATAATTAAAATAATATAAAAAGTTTCATAGCAATCTTATACAATCGAATCGACTTAGATATTTAATAACTGAACTTCTGCGAGTGCGAATATTAGAAGAAGAAAGAAAAAGATAAAGTTTTCAATCTTAACAATTCAATTTCATTTATTTAAATTAAAATTTGAATTTAATGCTACATAAATGTGCGAAAAATTTCTCAACAACTTTCCTCCTTTCTCTATCTTTCTCAAAAAGTCTCTTTTATACAATTGAAATGTTTAGTAATTGAAACGTGTTTATCGTATTTTAACAGAGAAATATAATTATAATTAGTTTTTGAATATTGATGATCTTTAACTCCTTGTAAACTGCCTTAAGGTATACCGGAAAACTAGATCTCTGAAATATCGATCGAGTTTAACATAGAAAATACGAACACGAGCTCTTTGCATACATTTGCCAGAAAGCTCATGGTTTGTTTAAAGTAATGGCATTTGCGACAAAAAGCATACGACATTTATATAAAATATACAATGCAAATACAACAGTTGTATACTCAGCACTTCGTCTACCGGTCGCTCGAATATCAGTTATTCAAACGGCGCAAAGTCATTATAACACTGAAGGTAAGTAAATATAAAACGTATAACCTTATAAAACTGAAACACGCACAACCTGCATGTTCATTATGAAATTCTTTAAATAATATGTATGAATGAAAGACATCTTTATTCTTTTTATTCGATATTTTATTCAAATAATATGTTATTATTTGATATATTGCTCATAATATATGTATTATTTACTACGTAATAATCATTTCATCATTTTTTTTAAATTTTACACACTACACGACAATATAAATAAATAACTTTCAATTACATACTTTTACAGCGCATAGACCAAAAATAACCGGTAGTTTAACAAATATTCAATCACCTGGAGGAACTGTACAATCTCTAACACAAGATGGATTAGACAATAAAAAGTTAGATGAAGAAGCAAAAGAAGAAGCAGAGGAAAAAGAAAAACGTGAACAATCACAAAGAGTGCTTAAATATAGTTTTGCATTCTTAGGAGTATTCACGACTGTTGGACTGTCTTATGTAATATATAATTTAACAAGAACCAAATATGATGAACAAGGAAATGTTATCGAAGATGAATTCTCAAATTTACCATTTTATGAGAGAATATATAAAATGCTCAAAAGAGAACTTAACTATTACACTAAGGTAACAAAAGCACAATGTAAATTTAGATAGCTAATTTTAGTTTTTATTTGTTTCACTTTTCAATCGTATTTTTAGATGGTACAAGAACCTAGCAGAACTAAACTACTTCCAGATCCACTTAAATATCCATACATTCAACCACCTTATACTTTGATATTAGAATTGACAGATGTTCTAGTACATCCTGATTGGACAGTAAGTTACATAATTTTTAATTTTTCTTTTTTAATTTTTTTCTACATTTTTAATATGTTTAATATGTTTTTGATAAATTTTTATTTCTAATTAAACATCTAGTATGAAACTGGTTGGAGGTTTAAAAAGAGACCTGGAGTGGACCAATTTCTAGAAGCTATAGCTCCACCACAATTTGAAATTGTAGTATATACGGCAGAACAAGGAATGGTAAACAATAATTATCACTAATTTATTATCAATCTTATTTATCATTTCAATATATTATTTATGTAATGTAATACCTTCAGACTGTTTTTCCTATCTTGGATATCTTGGATCCTAATGGATATATCATGTACAGACTAGTAAGAGATACAACACGTTTTGTAGATGGTCACCACGTTAAGGATTTAAATGCTCTTAATCGTGATCTTAGTAAAGTAAGTGTTAAATTTATATTTTTTACGGAAAATAATTTCTTTGTAATACATATTGTTTATTATCATTAGGTTATAGTAGTTGACTGGAATTCAGAGAACACAAAATTTCATCCTGAAAACACCTTACGACTACCACAATGGACTGGTAATGACGATGATACGACGCTATATGATTTAGCTGCATTCCTTAAAAGTACGTTGCTTTTTAAAATCTTAATTAATGTATGTTTTGTACTTATAATTATTGCTTTATTTCTTGTTTTTTAGCTATATTAGCGACAAATGTGGAAGATGTACGAGAAGTTCTTAATTACTATAGACAATTTGAAAATCCATTACAAGTTTTTAGAGAAAATCAACGAAAATTCTTGGTAAGTATTACGTTGATATATATTTTTATTTATAGTAATTCTGATACTTATGATCTATAAAATTTGTTTAGATGCAAATAGAAGAGGAGGAAAATAAAGCACAGCAAGAAAGTAGTAAAGTGCTTACATCAAAATGGAAACCATCTTTTCTGGGATCGCTAAATCACTAGAAAATTCAATATTGTAAAATACAAAAATCTATCAATTGTCATTAACATATTCGTTCACTTTATGTAACTGTTATTATATAATTTTTGCTATAAATAAATAAGTAATTAATATATCGAAATATTTTGTTTTATTTTATTATAAAAAATAATCTATATATATTGTAATTACATAAATAAATATTTTTAAAAAATATACTTTACACTTCTCGTCTTTTTCGTACTTTTTTTACTTTTGGTAAGAGATCTTGAAATATATTACTGTCATCCAAATAAATTACATCCATTTGTTGAGATACACTTACTAGTTCTTGCGTATTAATTGGTGTTGATGTATTCTCTATTTCTTCTTGTGATAAATTTAATGTTTTTGAATCTGCAGATTCTAACCAGTTTAAAACTTTCTGGTGAGGTACTGTTGAAGATAATGGAACTTCTTCACACATATCCCACACAGCTAAAAGTTCAGGAGCTAATATGTCCGTATAAGTATTCAGTCTTTCGAGAGACTGCTTCCAGCTCGGTTCAAAACATTCTGAATTATGTTCATTATACTTTAATCGTAATTTTTTATTTGTAAAATCTATCAAATTAATGTGTATATAGTAATCAAGTAAAATAATTTTAGTTTTTTGAAAAAAATAAATTATCAATTTACTTACTTTCAAGAAGATATTGCATATTTGACTTGCTAGACATTGCAAGAGGTACTATAACATCTGTTTCCATAGGTATCGCATTTTGCCAAGCATTCAATATATGAAATGATTTTCCATTGATAGGTGAATATTTATCTAATGCAGTATCATGTGTTAAACATTGATAGTATATGTCACCTAAAAAGTATATTTGAAATTTTCTTTAATTCATAAAATACGCTATAGAAAGCAACGAATTACATACCAATAGAATTTTGAAGAAATAAAAATATATTTTGGGCATTATCTTTTATAAGAAATGAACCAATATTAGATAGTTCAAATCTATCTCTCAAATATGGATTTAAGCACATTCCTTGCATTTGAGATTCGTTTAATGTTTCTTTAATATGAGGAGGAGTATATGGAAAATTGTATGAATATGAAATTTCACTGCTTGTCCAGGTATTTACAATAATTGTAGTTTCACTAGCAATTTGACTAGTTAAAACAACAAATTCTTTATCGTCTCTAAAAATAATCGGTTATTTAGTTTTATATATATATAGATACACACACACATACACACGCACACACACAAAATTCATTTACAACTATATTTTCATATTTCCTACCTATCTATTACAGAATTCATAAGTGGCGGACTTTTAAATTGATGAGTCCACTTCTGTTGAACGCATTGCTGTGGTGAACGATTATCACACATTAAAATACTATGATAAGTTCCTACATATCTACAAAAATTATTTCTACTAGCAACATCTATTGAAAGATGTTCACACTTTTCCAAATAAGATTTTGGACACATTGTTAATACTGGTTGATTAAGTGGAATCTGTAATATGTTACATATATTCATTCTTAATTTACAAAATAAGATTTTTTCCACAATATATGAGAAATAACAATATTAAAGTAATTAGTAGCAATATTTTTATTCTTACCCGAATGTCAAGATAATGAAGACAACATCTATCTACAAATAAAAGAATATTAGGATCTGTAGATTGAAATTTTATACTGCTCCATGAATCATCTAACACAGTATTTTGCATTATGGTATTACAACTTATTGGTTTCCTGTAAAATCAAAGATACATTTAAATTTCTTACTCATATGCACAGAGAGCAAATATACAATTAGATTATATTTACATTTTAACTATATCCCACAATGTTACATATCTTTCAACATTTACCAAACAACATTGATTTGTATTAATAGAATTTAAATCTGCACCAATGTAAGGTATTTTTGATGTTTGTGTATGTATTTCAGTAAGATTATATTTATTATCATATTCAGATAATTTATAAAAAGTACAATGTTGTTTATATCTACCTAAAACCATAGCTAAAAAAAGATTAAATCAAATATTAATTTTGAACATGAAAAATTTCGAATTTATCAATACTATACTACTTTTTTATCAGTTTAAGGAAATAATTATGTACACTTACATGTATCAATACTATGTTTTAATTCATATAATGAACCATTAAGTTCACATTTTGCAGCCTTTTCAAACTGTGGTTTCCATAAGAATTCTTCTATATTATCAACAGGAGTACATACTAAAAATATGTTACAATAAAAAATATAATATTTTTAAACTATAAAAAAATTAAAAAAATGATTTTATATTATATACCTAATTCTCCCATAAATGGAAAAAGTAAAATATTTTTGTTGTGTAACTGTACACAATCTAGAGATCCACCAGTATAATACCAATTATAAACCTAACAAGAATTTACATAAATTTAAATTTCATTTGCAATAAATTTAAATTTCATTTACAAAGTATTCTCAATTTTATATTTCTGTCAATTTATCTTACTCCCTCAAAATAAGGATCTGGATCTTTATCAATGATTTGTGCTATGTCCGCTACATATTTAGGCACTTTAGCAATAATTGTATTTTTGGTGCGATTCCACCTTACATTCTTTTTATGTATTAATTCTAGCTCTATAAAAACATATTATTAAATATACATATATATATATATATATATGCAAACTTGTTTTATAAAATTTAACATTTATTTTTAAATTTACCTTTTTCGTGTTTTAAATAATAATCCTTCATTCTTTCTTTATCACTGTTCAGATAATTCTTAACAGTCACTAATTCTAATGTTGGATCTTCTTCATTCAACACTATATGGAATATATTAGATAGAATATATATTAGAATATATAATATAGAATATAAAATATATAATATAGAAATATATATACTTATATTCATTTATATACTGTAATTTAATTAACACAATAGACTTACCATTTCGAGGCACTTTAGCAGGTGGCAATAAAGGTTTTGGTAAATCACAATAATAAGGATATTCTTGATATTGTTCTATAACATTTTCTAAATCAGTATCATCCATAGAAAAATTGCTATGTAAATTATATCCAGGTATTAAATAATGCGGATAATGGTCCAAAAATAATGATTTTAATTTATCTTTCAAGTTTGTTTTAGCACGTTGATATGACTTTGATGTTAAAATACTCTGCTCCTCCATTTTAATTATCTTTTATAATATATGATATAAAATTTATACCAACAGTTAACTAGTTTTGTTATAAAAATTATTTTATTATTATTCCTATAAAAATAAATCCTATAATATTACGCTATAAAAATAATTATTTTACCTTATAATGCGTATAAAAAACAGAATAAGATTTTTAGTTCTTATTACCATTTTGTACATAACTTTAATATTATTAATAATAATGAACATTAATCAACATTGACAACATCAATAAATATATTTACAAAAGGACATGATTCAAGCGCATGCATGTTCAAAACTGTCATAGAATATGAGTTACAGTGAAGTACATTGTATACTTATATATGGAAAAATATATCTTAACGCACTCTACATTCTAAAAAGTTAATTATAAAGATAATTTTATAATTCTGATCGGTACAGCTTTATTAAAAAAATATATACATATAATTTTAATCTTCAAATTCAAATTTATATACATATTCTTTTATAATGATTTGCTTCTTTTCACACATTTTTCTTTTACACCCTGTATATTCTTTTGTTATTTTATAATTTTAAAAAGTGAGGTTCAAATAAAAAGAATTGTACAAAACGATATTTTAAGTTATATATAAAAGCAAATATAATTTTTTTATATATAAAATATAAATATTTTTACTGAATATAAAAATACTTTCCAAATATTTTTATATAATTTTTATTGAATATAAAATACAATTATAAACATATTATTTTAATATTTTCATTCTAAATAATCATTCTTTAATATTTTCATTCATTATATATGAAAAAGATATTTACAACAAAAATAATATTCTTATTATTATATTTTGTCATTTTTCTTTATGTATGTAGAGAATATAAAATATATTGATACAGAAATTTCATTTATGGAATTAATACATAAAGTACGTCAATTTAATTATATCATTAATTATTAATAATATTATTATTATATTAAAATACGAACGTTTAATTATATTATATCATAAAAGGTAATGTAATATTGAAATTAAGCATTCATTGATTTATAAATATTATATTAACCAAAAAATATAAGATAATATTGTATTGATGACATTTGAACAACTATCACAGCATTAACTTTGATGTCACTATATCTTCCCATGTATAAGAAATACAAATTTTCTTTATTTATGTTATAAATAAATTTAAAGTTTAATTGATTTTGTACTATACAGGACATAAACAGTAAGTGAAAATTATTTGATTAAAAAAGAAAATGCAATTGTACAATAAATAAATTTTATACATTTCAAATAAAATATTATATATTATTAAAGCATGAAAAATATTATTTATATTAATTATCTACTAATATTTAATGTAAAAAATGTTCGAGTGAAGATATATATGCTGAAATTATTGATATAATTTATATAATTTAATCAGTTTGATTTTTGTGTGCTTCATATACAAACGATCTGAAAAAAGAAGTAATAAAAAGTCTCATATTTTATAATATATTAGTCTTATTTTATATATATATATATATAAGTATATAAGTATATATAATATATTAGTTTTATATTAGTCTTATTTATCAATACTCACTTAATTATATTAGGTAAATCTTTATAACGACATATATATTTATGTCCAAGACCATGTGATGCATCAATTCTTGTCATCTGAATCTGATTTGTATTATTTCCATGATAATTTATTGCTGCTTCAAACAACTAAGAAAAAGGATTAAATATATCAATATTCTAAATTTTTATAGAAATATATACGAAACTATATTCATACCTTTTCACCTAGTGCAAATGGAATAATATTATCATCTTTTGCATGCAATATCATAATAGGGCACTGAATCTTTTTTATATGTTTGTCAGATTCAAAACGAAGGTAATTATTATAAAATGGCTCAACAATTACCCAATGAAACCATGGTAAATGTTTAAATATCTAAAAACAAATTTTCAGTTTTAAAAATATTGAAAACAGCTTTTAAGTGTAAAATACAAAGTACCTGTGCTAAAGGATGTTCACTTAATTCATCTGCTATATTATTAAATGGTGATTCCAGGAATAAACCTGCAGGCTGAATTTTTTCTGTTGCTAATAATGCCAATACATGAACAGAAACTCTATAATATAACAATGACCTATAAATTTCAATTTTAACATTAATTTTGTTACTTTAAATAACTATAGAATTTATACCCAGTTCCTAATGAATGTCCCCATACAAAAACAGGGGCTGTACCATTTACTATTTTTAACAACCATTCAAGTACAGATTTACTATCACTAACTACACCCATTTCAGACAGTTCTGCTTCTTCACTATCACCATAGCCTATATATATTACAGAAAATTAAAGTCATAAATATTTAAACAATCATTTATATTATTTTTCATTAAATTACGTTTAATTTCTTACAACTATAAAATTTTTTTCTTACCTCTATAATCAAAACATACAACATGATAATCTAAACTCTGAAAAAGTTTATATAATTCTAAACGATGATTACTTGCTCTGTTACCACTATTACCATGCATATAAAGAAAAATTGGTTGTTTAGTATTTTTTAACACAGCTTCATAATCATCATCAGTTATAATAGTTGAATCATTTAATAAAGATTGAGGTAATATTTGCCTGAAAGTATATATTATTTAGTTTAAGTAAATTGTATACTTATGTATAAATTACCAACCATAGCCCTATTTTTACTTGTTGATCAGTTTTTAAATAAAAATTTCTTGTTCCTTTCATTCCAACTGACTCTGGTTTTGAAAAATTTATATTAAGTGGCCATTGCACTAAAAATATATTATGTTTAAACATAAAATCCAATAAACAGAGTGTGTAAATTTATTTAAAAGTAATTTACTCACCAAAATTTAAAAAAAGAATCTTCTTTTGTATGGTATAAGAGTAGTGGAATATGATAGGCAAAAGCACAAATATAATAAAATATGTAAATATTGATACTTTTATCATCCAAAATAAATATCTGTAATATATATATATATATATATATGTATATATTCTTTAATATTTTATAAATAAATAACCACATTATGAAAAGATATTTTCATACAGTATGAAAAGATATTAATATATTTATTTATTTATTTATTTATTCGTTATAATAATACCATACTTTATTTATAAAAATAATAAAATAACATTATTTATATATATTACTATTATTATATTTATCCAGTTTTTATTTTTTATCAATTATGATTTGCAAATTAAAAAAAAAAACTGAACTGCAAATACTGATATATAAATAAAAGTACAATGATTTTTTTTAAATCATCAATAAAACATAAGAATATAATATAATATAATTATACCTTGTTAATTGTATAGAAGTTTGGGGTACATTTTTACAATTTAAACAATAATTATTGCACATTATTTAACAGTTGTAATTTGAAAATTGATCAAATCAAGTACAACTCAGAAGTTTTATAAAATATTTAAAAAATTTATCTCTTATTTTTAAATGTTTATTATAGTTTCCAATATTTTAATACTTTTGTGACATATCTTCAATACTATAATAAAAAAGTTAAGATAAAAAATATTTGTTTAAACAAATTTATAGATTTTTTATCAAATTTAAGGGGATATTTATGTATCATGCATCACAAATTTTAATAACCATAAAATAGTTGTTAAAGTAACATTACTTTTATTCTAATATAGAAAATATTATTGTAATACTCTAAAGAAACAATTATTCTACAGGGAGTTTGAAACTGTTAAACATTATTATTTTACATTAAAAATATATTGAATAAATATAGGATGAAATATCTTCTTTGTTTCAGAAATTATACATTCTTTAATAAATATTCCTTAATTATAATATAAGTTTTTAAAAAATGAATATATAATTACATCGTGGTTATAACAGAGTAACTTACATTCCTGTATACCAAATATCAAAAACGATGAAAGGTAACATTGCTGCTAAGTAAGTTGTCTGCATATTTGTTAGTAGCTATTAAACATAAGGTAATTTTTAATTTCCCCATTAATATAATTCTTTTATGTATATATTAATGACATAATGAAAACCATTTTTTATATTTGCTAAAGTGTAACTATATCCATGATTACATATAATATAATTATATTTTGTAATAAACTTGTAATTTATGAGGATTAAAATTTCTTGATATTTCCTAATTTTAGACTTAATAATGCAAATTAAACTTCTTATCTATTTAAAAAAAAATAAAATACATTATGAAACCATTAACTTATATAATTCAATAAAAGATGAACTTTGCATTGATGAATATTGCACAATGGAAATAAATACATTTAAAATTAATCTGAAAATTATACTTTAAAATAATATTCAAATTAAGATAAATTTAAATATTACACATATGGTAACTTTTTATAACAATAGTATAATTATCCATAAATAAAGAAGGAAATGATATAATTTTATATGAAAAAGATATATTTAATAAATAAATTAGAATCTTAAAAATTCAAAATTTTGTAAATAATGGAAATAATTACACTTAATATAATAATTTCATTATTTTAAAATATTCATTAGATTAATATGTGTGTTTAAAGATTAACATAAACAAGTTTATATAATTGTGCAATAAATCTGAAAGTAAAAAATAAAACCTTAGAAACAGAAATGATACCTCTTTTTAAAACGTTTCTTTGGTAGCCAATATACCATTGCAAATTAATAAAATTTGCAGCCCAATGTATTTCTATATGTAAAGAACACCAATTTATATAATTACACTTTAATTATAATTCAAATACATGAACCATAACTCATTGTACGTATAGGAAAGATTAAATATTAAACAATTGCTTATTTATTTCAAATTACAATTAAATAAAAAATTTTTTCCGATTCTTTATTTTGCTTCACTTTCACATTTAATACTGGAAACAGAAAATAATCTCACAAGAATATATACATAGCTAAGAAAAAATCGAATTTTCTGTATATCACATTGATTATGCAAACTATGAGGAAAATTATAACAACTATATATCAATATTTACTTGAAAATTAAAAAAACAAAAAGAATTATAATATTGTGAAATATTCGGACATTATATAAAACTTGTTTTTTGAAATAAAATAACGTCTTATTACAAAATGAAATTAAGCAAATACACCTAAATAATTTTTTATTACTTTTTTAATACTGATAAGAATTGTTTTTGTATTAAGTATGTTCCAATGATTAAAAAAGAAATTTTGTGACATATTTTATAAAGATACATGTACATAGTTTATGACTGTTGTTGGAGATTTGATTGGTTAGTTTATTTTATAATAAATAGAATTATTATAGTACATGAAATGATTAAAAATATATATGTTCAGAAAGTTTCGTTACAATATTTTTATATTTTTCAAATTTTTATTACAGATACATTTATTTATGAATTATCTCTAAACTATTATTTTTGCTAGTTAACAGTAATCGTTGATCATTTACATTTTATATGACATCGATAGCGCAATAAGATAGTATTAAATTAGAAAATTGTAAAGGAAATATTGTAATAACTGTAAGATAGTGTTTCAAATATAATCCACGAATAAAATATTTAAAGATACAAAAAACTACGTATAACAACAATAGTAACAAAGTATTAATATATTATTTCGGAAAGGTTGATTCTAACCTTATTTTTGTTTTTTTAAAAGAAATATAATTTACAGATGAGTCGCAAGGAAGCATTATCACAATTTATTCAACAAATACATGGACGTCCTGTTGTTGTAAAGCTAAATAGTGGGGTAGATTACAGAGGTAATATATATTGCACTGCAATATAAACCATAATTCATTAATCACAAAATTATTCTCATTTTACAGGTGTTTTAGCTTGTCTTGACGGTTATATGAATATAGCTCTTGAACAAACAGAAGAATATGTAAATGGTCAATTGAAAGATAAATATGGTGATGCATTTATTCGTGGTAATAATGTCTTATATATCAGTACACAGAAACGTAGAACTTAAGTAAAATAAATATATAATTTATATTAAACTTTATTTATTGTACCTTACAAAAACGTCTAAATATTTGTGTATGTAAGGTTTTTCATAACAAATCGTTTATTTGACATTTTTATTGTTCTTAATTACTACATTAATACTTTATTATAAAATTTTTTGATATTTTTACAAGTTTTATTATAATAGTTTTATTCTAAGTTTCATGACTTGTATCTGTTTCTTGTGAATTATTTTCAAATTCTTTATTCTCCAAACATAAAATTTTATTATTTTCTGATTCTTCCCTAAGTTTCTTTCTTTTAGCATCTTCTTGTATTTCTTTAAGTCTTGCTTGTCTTCTTTGAATAGCTTGCTGTTTATTTCTTTCTATACGCTCTTTTATTTCATTGCTTAATTGCGAAGAAGCAGAAGTATTAGTTGTAGATTGAGAATTTATGGTATTAGACTGTGATAATAATTTATCAAATGTATCATTACTAGTAATTGATTCATCAATTGTTGATTGTTGCATAACTTGTTTTTGCTTTTCTATTTGTTCTGCAATTAATAAGTCAAATTCATCAATAGGTTCATCTTGTTCTTCATTTTCTTCTGCATCTATATCTTGATGAATAATATCAGTATCTTCATCAATCATGTCTTGTCTATATTTTTTTATGAACACTTGAAGATCCTTTTTAGTGCCCAACTTCTCTAATTTCTCAAGAAAATCATCAAAGTCCAATTTTGGAAATAATCTGTGCCCCCAATGTTCCAATCTTTTCATAATTCGATCTAAGTCTAACTTTTCATATCTTTGTCCATGAAACTTAAAGCCTTCAAAATATTTTTCAATAGTATGAATTCCTTTAGGGCCCTTTAAACGTTCTGTATTTAATTTAGGTAAAGGATTTCTTATTATATGTTTCTTAGATGATGTTGATGGATCAATTCTTCTTACAATATTTTCTCCTTTATTTTGATCATTTTCTGAGTCTGAATTTTTCTGTGTATTATTTTGATCTCCATCAGACTCTTGATTTTCATATTCAGCTACTATGTCATGTTCATTCTCATCATAATCAGAGGTATTCGACAATGTCGTCATATTCAACAAGTTGTACCCCCACTTCTTTGTATATGTATGTACGAAATATTAATTTTTTATTTAATGCTTTAAAACTTAGAGAGTCTTTCAATATAATTAATATCAGAAATACAAGAAATTTTTTATTTCTTTTTCTGTCAAACAATATTCATTCCTCAGTAATTGTACAACTTCAACCGATTTGTGATAGGTTATGTTTTGTAATGCACATATTTACATTTTACTTAAAATTCACTATCATCTTGAGAATCACAACTAGTATTTCCCTTGTCCATAAATTTATCGAATTCGTCACTCGATTTATTCATTCTTTCTAAAAGAGACACTAATAATTTCTTATTTAATCTATCGGTCTGCGTTATTTCCCGCACAACGGGCAAATTTGCAACCGGAGGACGTTCCGTTATTTGCAGTTTTTGTAATGTATCGTTCTCTTCCTTTATCGGTGTTCCTGGCATTTTATACTATTTGATTAAAGTACCACGATTCACAGTTACAATTTTGATTTTGTTGGTAATAATATATGGTCAGTAATAATAATCTTCCGTGCAAATCCTTTAACCTATATTGTACGTATGTATGGATATGTTATCTTCTGCGCATGTAGATAACTTAGAGAATTTTATACGCGCCTACATATTATCATTTTAAACAGTTTATTCGAGTATCATTTGTTTGTATTTTCCTTAAATTAATTTAACTGTTGTACTTCTGTATCAATTTGTTCAATAAATCTAAAATCAACACGTTCTATCTATAAGATAATTGATGATAAAAATCGTTATGTTTAGACATAAAAAATCAATGTTTTAATGTGTCTTCAAATTGATTTGAAATTTAGAAACAATCACACAAATTGTTTAAAATAAAACCTAAAATAAAAAAAAATAAAATATTTTCATTCGTCAGAAACAGCAAATTACGAAAAAGTTTTTCAAATCCATAATGTCTTCTTATCTTTTTAAATGAATTACACACTACATATTACGCGCGAGCGTATAAATACATATGTGCACACATATGCATAAAAATAAAGATTTATTTATTCGTTTCTTAAAATATAATATTTCGCAAAATATATGTACAAAGTACAAGGACTGTAAATACAACTTCTATATTTTTAATATATATATATATAAAGTTGAAATACTTATCACATAAGTAAAAGAATCGTAATTATCGGTTCGAGGTACAATACTACCACATGAAAATGATTGCAAGTTGACTATGGATTAACGCGGCAAACTCAGAGTTTCATCAGTATCGTGAGAACTTTCGTACTGTAAGGTGTTATCCAAGAAGAAATAAATAGAAAATTGTACAGTCTTATAAAATTATCATTGAAAAGAAAACCAGGCAAGTGTTTTAAACCGAAATTTTTGCTGACATGATTTACAAAAAGGTTTATTACTCAATCGCAATATTATATTCAGAATTTAAATTTTATTAAGTTTATCTTATAAGAAATATTATAAATATTATAATAATAATTATTATTATTAAATATAAATATATATATGTGTGTGTGTGTAATTCTAATTAAATATCGTTAAATATTATTGAAACATTATAATAAAAATTGTAATTAATACTATATATAATTATTCACGTATATCTGGATACTTGTAGATATAAATAATTAATTTAATTTACCGTGCAACAAGCGATGAAACAAATTTAACGATCATGTTTTATCGATTATAGAAGAACACACATCATACTGCATCTGTAAGTGGTTTTGTGAGTTTTACTGATTTAAATACCACATACGTATACACACACACGCGCGCGCGCGCGAGCACACGCACATATATATATATATATATGCATAGAGCCAATGTGGCGTGATCAGCAGTAACGGATTGTAAGTTTGTTTCTCACTTTCCAATAAATATTTAATTATTTTCAGTATTACAGAAGAAGATGTTATAAATGTTATAACGATGAAATATTTGAAGATGTTATAAATTTTGAAACATTTAAATGAACTAATAGAATCTATATATGAGTAATTAAAAAAAAAAAAAATACAAAAAGATACATTACATTGAGTAAAAAATTTACATATTAATTAAATCGTATGATTGTCTAAGGAATCATAAATCTTATTATTAATTATGCGTTATTAAGAAAATTTAATAATTGCATCTATTAAATTATTTTTAACATTTTTTTTATATTAAATCATATGCGTATATTATGAAATAATGATTACTGAACATAATCATTTATTTTCTTCCTCTACATAACAAAATTTGATTATTTAAAATTATTTGCTAATTGTTTTATGTTACGTTAATTACTTACTTAAATTATATAACTTATATAATTATATAACTACAAACAATGTTTAGCAGTCTTTTAGAATTAGCTAAATGGTCTTTTAAAATTAGATATAGAATAAGAATTTATATTTCCATACACTATAGCAAATCTCTGAAACGTAGATAAACTTCAAGCGATTTGAACTCAAAGCTATTTGAACATAAGATAAAAGTTTATTTCATATTTACAAGAATTCCGTATATCCATTATCAAATTAAGTTAAATAATTATTATTCTATTATCAAACAAAAATTACAATTCTTATAATTTCATAAAGCAAACTCGAGCTCATAGATCTACTTTCTTGCTTCGAATGAATCGTACCGTACTGACGATTAACGGTACCATTCTCAGCAGAATACAAAGAAAGAAAATTGGAATAGGAAGAATCTTCTATCATAAAAATATTCATAACTATGAACAATTTTTTACATCGTACTTATTTGTAAATTTCAGTGACAAATTTGTACTTATTGTTTGTAATTAATGAATGTTTAATTAAAACGAATAATTATAACAATTCATACGATTATGTAACAATTATGTAACATTTTTTAAATTTATAAGCATGTTTCATACAAAATTAAGATCAGATTGAAAATGAAAAAAAATGGAAAGTTTTTATTCTGAATTTTATTCTAAACGAGAAATAAATGATAAAGATACAAATATTTTTCAAATTTATATTGTAATTAATTATATATCTTAAAAGGACAATGCAAAAATAATAAATATCAAATCAGTCTTGAGATATTATTTCAAACTTCGTATTAAAAAATTGCATGTTATTTCTTTCTGAAGTTGATTAAATGTCAAGGTTGCAATTTAGTTGTAATTATATATTGAAATGAAATGTCATTTGCTATTACATAATCTGAAAATCTAAATTTCATGTTGTTTCATGTTCTCTTTATCATCTAATTACAGAGATTTATTTTGCTTGATGGATTTCACATTTTTATATTTTGCATCTGTAATTTTAGGTTTTACATTTTTGTATTACTTCACGTTTTTATATTTAAATAATCTGGCACATTGATATGAATATAATGAATATAATGTAACGTTTCTCATTTCTCATATCTCATCAATTTTATTTTTCTTCGTTGAAAATTAAAATTCACTTTTTTCTTTATTTCAACAAAAATAGCCGAAGGATGAAAAACATTCCAATAATTATGTTATATACATTAGTGTTTTATTAATATTTGATTTATTTTGAAAAGAAATACGTAAAAATGATAATAAATTATTCTATGTTCAATCTTGCTACGTCTCTTGGATCATCTTCTACTTACAGCCGTATTTTCCGGCGTTAAAAAAATTTCCAAAATTTAACAGGAATTTTAGAAAAATTGTTATTAATGTTTTTCGTTTCAATTTTACTATGGAACTTTTCTTGAAACATTAAAAATTTATTTTTAAAAAAACAAGACGCATAAAAATTCGAAAACCGTAACAGAGTTAAATATATTGCCAAAAGGTAGTACGATGTTCTGTTATTGATTTTCATTAGTTCAAACATTTTGTAATTCTAGCAGATCAAAAACCAGGTCTAAACTTCAAATTCTACTTTTTCAAGGTAGAATTTTAATAACTTTAAGTACTTGATATCTATGTAAAAGATCTATATAAATTAAATATTTAGTAATGCATCAAGTATTGTCAGTTTACTTGATATTTAAGTTAATGTTTTTCTAATTAATTTTATAATATTTATGAAAGCGCATATATAAATCTAATTATCTACAAAAAAAAGCTGATATTTAAAAAGTAATATTCATCCTTTTAAGTGATATGAGGAGCTGTTTATCTAACAAGTGTACTTTGTTCACATCGCCTCATGTTTCGCCAATGACTCGTTTCAAGAAAACCAAAAGGAAAAAGAAAGAATAAATACGAAGTAGACCGAAGTATTACATTCAATTTAATGAGAATACTATTTTTAAAAAAGCCTCGATGACTATTAAAAATATATTTTGAAAATTTATAAAAAACTTTAGATTATTATATAGGTGACTATTAATAAAAACTTATATTTTAAAAAACTTATACTAAATTGAACACATACAATTACTTCATTTGTATTCACATTGTGCAATTAAGTTACATAAATTAAGCTTTCTACGGTTTCTATTTGAGCTTTCTTGAATAAAAAATAAATTATACTTGTCACATTTAATCTATAAAATGGCTATAATATGATGTAATTTTCTTTTTTTAATGTTTTGAAATTATGTTGTTACGAATTATGATACATTATTCTGCATATTTTTTGCCATAATCTACGAAGTATTTTGTATAATTTTATTACAATTTTGAAAAACATATTAATTTGCTTCTCAATGTTTTTAACATTTGAATCTTTAATTTTCATTAATAATAAATTTATAAAATATTATGTTACAATATATAGTATATATAGTATCAATATTAAATCGTTTAATTCAATATAATTATCACGATTTACATTCTTTTATATATTATTACATACATTTTTTTATATAATACATTTTATATAATACATTTATTTATATAATACGTACAAATATGGTCATTTATTCATTTATAATGCATCTATTAATACGGTACATATAAGGTAAACGACATTTTCAACTTAATTCTAACATATACAACATTTATAACATTTCTATTTATATTTCAGACAATATGACTACAATACAGACAAATGGATCAATAAATAAATTTACGATAAATAGCAAGGTATAACAATAAAAAAATGATCATGTAACAAATTGAAAAGATTTATTTATAATACCGTTATTATACCACAAAAGAAAAATAATTAGCATTTTGAATATTACAGGACATAACTAATAATGTTTCTTACTATGCAAATAGTGAAACTGGTCTTGATGGTGAGCAATTATGGCTTCTGCATTAAAAAATTTGAAAAAAAATATCATTATTATATTTTTTATATTTATTTTATTTCTATAGGACCTGATCAGATTTTGGCGGCCGATAGTTTCACAACTACGAAAGCGGATGAATGTGTACGAATACAATTAAGTAACGATAGTCTTAAACCCATATCAATTCCTGGATTATTGTCACGTACAGCTAAGAAATATTCTAATCATGTTGCTCTAGTGGAAAGACCTGATAAAACAGGTCGTAGAAAAACATATACATACAGGTAAGCATCTTATAGAAAAAGTAACAAAATATATTTAATATAGATTATTTATTTTGTTGCTTTGCATTTCTAGCGAGTATGAAAACCAAGTTAGAATTGTAGCTAAGGCTTTTTTAAAATTGGGTTTAGAACGATTTCATGGGGTCTGCATTCTAGGATTCAATAGTCCAGAATGGTTCTTTTCAGATCTTGGTGCTATATATGCAGGGTAAATATCTATATCTACAGTTTTGTAGAAAATTTATAATGTTTAATTTCAATATTTTATACCAAATAATGTAATTTATAATTTACTTAGAGGACTTGCTGTCGGAATATATACTACCAATAATCCAGAGGCATGCCAATATTGTCTTGAAATCAGCAGAGCGAATATAGTAGTTGTCGAAGATTCAAAACAATTGGAAAAAATATTACAAATAAGACACAATCTTCCCCACTTAAAAGCGATTATTCAATACGACGGTACACCGAACCAAAAAGATGTTTTGAGTGTAAGTTATTTTGTCTATGATATCAAATCCATTATCAGGTCATGTTTGATAATAACTTATTTTACAGTGGAATGATTTAATAAAAATCGGAGAAGCAGAATCTGATGACAAATTGAACGAAGTTCTAAAAAAAATTGCGGTGAATCAATGCTCTACCCTAGTTTTCACGGTAGGTAAAGTTAATTTTGTGTAAGAATATTTCAAAAAATTTTTTAGTTCTTATATTTAAAGAAAATATTACAAAAACAATTATAGTGTTTTAATCACAGTCAGGTACAGTTGGAAATCCAAAGGCTGTGATGTTAAGTCATGACAATCTTATACAAAATGCTCAATCTCTGAATAAAATGTATAAATTAGAAGAGGCTGATCATTCTTTAATTTCTTATTTACCTTTATCTCACGTTGCAGCACAGGTAAATTTTTTATTTAAATTTTTCGAAATTATGTATTAGTTTATATATATTATAATTATATATCTTTCTTAATAATTCTAGGTAGTTGATATATATTACGTCATTTTTGTAGCTGCTACGTTGTATTTCGCGGATAAAGATGCTCTTAAAGGCACTTTAATTAATACTATACTTGTAGTACGCCCTACTGTATTTGTAGGTGTACCAAGAGTATGGGAAAAGATTTATGATAAAATGAAAGAAATTGCAAGTAATAATGGATTCATTAAAACATGGATTGCTTCTTGGGCAAAATCACACGGACTTTATTACAATATGAACAAAATGAATGGTAACAACCACAAGCACTGGGGCTATATATTTGCTAAATGGCTAATCTTAAACAAAATAAGGACAGCACTTGGTTTAGATAGATGTAATTGTTGCATTAGTGCAGCTGCTCCCTTAAATAACGAAATAAAAGAATATTTTTTAAGTATAGACGTTATCATACTGGATGTATTTGGAATGTCTGAATGTAGTGGTGGGCACACTGCATCTACACCTGATGAATTCAAGTAAATATTTAATTATTATTATACAAAATGTTAAACTGAAATTTCAAATATTTCAAATAGAAGTTGAATAATTCTGAAAACTCTTTTTAAATTAATTTCTTTTTTAATTTAATTTGTACGTCTATAATTAACTTTTTAAAATTAAAAACTTGATTTTTTATTATTTTCAATATTTTCGAATGTCTGATAATCACGATGATCATTCTGTATACACAACTAAATTTCGATAATCTATTACATTAAATTTATTTAATATTCAGATTAGGTAGTGTTGGTCGAACAATTCCTCTATTTGAGACAAAAGTGAATAATCCAGATAATAATGGCGAAGGAGAAATTTGTATGTATGGAAGACATATATTTATGGGATATTTAAATCAACCTGAAAAAACAGAGGAAGCGTTAGATGCAGAAGCATGGTTACATAGTGGCGATATGGGAAAAATTGATTCAGATGGATATGTACATATTACAGGTAAATCTGCTTTGAAATACAATTTTTTTTTTCGTTTTTAAATCTTGTTTTTAAAATAATATAAACATAAAATGATATATTTTTGTAACAAATATAGGAAGAATAAAAGAATTAATTATTACTGCTGGTGGCGAAAATATATCACCAGTCCATATAGAACAGCTAATATTAGCTGAACTGCCCATATTAAGCAATGCTGTATTAATTGGAGATAAAAAAAAATATCTTACAATATTAGTTACTTTAAAGGTAATATAATATTTTTAAATATAATAATATTTACATTAATTTTTTTTAACTATATTTTTGAACTATATATATTTTTGTATGTACTTTAGACTAAAGTCAATAATGAAACTAGTGAACCAACAGATGATTTCACTGTAGATATTTTAAAATGGTTACAATCTATTGGAAGTACATCAAAAACAGTTTCTGATGTCTTAAAAACACATGATTCTCTTGTAAGTTTATTAATATACACATACCAAAAGCTTTAGTAAATAAATTAAATAAATTAAATAAATTTTAATATCTATTGATCATTAGCCATAAACTTCATTTTTTTCAGGTATATGAAGAAATTGATAAAGCAATTAAAAAATATAATAATAATAAAGCTATAAGTAATGCACAAAAAATACAAAAATTCAAGATTTTGCCAAAGGACTTTTCAGTAGCCACTGGAGAGCTTGGACCAACACTTAAACTTAAAAGAAATATTGTTTATAAGAAATATGAAAATTTGATAGAAGATATGTATAAATAAATATATACAGAAATCCTATTTATAACTTAAAAGAAGGAAAAACAAAAGATATTTCTAAATAACTTAGTGGTAACTAATATACTTGCATACTTAATGCTTTTATACTTAAATTATGAAATTACATAATCAAGAATATTATAAATATTATAATATTGTTCTTTAAATTAATTTTAATTAGTAAATATTTCAAAATTTAATTCTAAAAATTTCAAAAGAGTCTTCTCACAATATAAGAAAGAAAGAAAAAAAGTATGTATATACAAATTATTTTTTTTAAACTGAATATATAATATATGATGTATTTAGAAATATTGAATGTTAATATTAGAAATTTGGCAGATGTATTATAGTATAACAAAACTTTCATATATCTTTTTGATACAAAATTTGTTATAATAGATATTAATGCGTTTATTTTTGTGACAATAAAATTTACTCTAAATGAAAATGAATATTTAAAAATAGAATAAGTGCCTTCATGAGTGAAAATCAGAAAAAGTTCAAATAGTACATACAAATAATAATTTTTAAATCAGATTATTTTTAAATATATATAATCCACATTATACATTATAAATAAATAAATATATATATATATTATTTTGAAATATATAACAGCATATGTGTATTGAATATACTATATTATATATCATTACACTAAAAAAATGTACTATTATATTCAATTGAATGAGTATAGAATATAATCCTTAAATAATATAGTATAGTAGGGTAGTATAGTAAAATTAAGAGTTTAAAATTATATAATTAATATTTTTATTTAATTTATTATATTTAGCTGAAACATTAATGAATAAAAAGAATACAAATTTTTTTAAATATTACTTATTAATATATGTATCATAAAAATTTCTTAGTGTAGCTATACCTAAAAGTATATAATTAATTGATAATGTGATAATAAAATTGTCTTGTATAAGTGCACTTTTGTAATTTTACTATATTACTTCAGTAAGTAGTCTTTTAAATATAGAACATATTACTAAATATATATTTTATTTTCTATACAATAAAATAAATTTATTAAGATTTCTATATGTTTTGACACATAAATCTGTTAATGTGTAAAAGCTTATTATTTAAATCTTTTTTTTTTACTAAAATAATGGACAGGTAACTAAATAAATATTAGTAAGTTTAAGTTATAATGTATTACTAATGTAGTTTACAGTAACCAAAACAAGTATTATATTTAATTTTGTTTTATGCTACATACAGATTCTTATGACAACCTGATATCTTATAAGAATATAGTTTTATTAAGCACATCACAGCAACTTTGGAAATGCAGGTTTGTGTAATGTCCTCATTCTGAAACTCTATTGCATATACGAGTGATTACATTTACAGTATTTTCTTTTATCATTTTGTATTTTTGAATATTTAATTTCATTGTATATTTTAATAGGAAATTTTGAAATTCTTTATGTTTTTGAATCTAAGATGCAATTTATTTTGATCCTAAAAATTAATTCAATAACAGAAAAGTAACTATTGCTTAATTATTAATATTTTTAGTATGGAAAAACAGGATTATAATATTTGATATATTGTTATAAATTATTATAATTTTTACTTTTTTAAGTGCCTTAAAAATCTTGAAATATCATTTTTAAGAAAGACTTATTTAGCATGAAAAAGTTCAATGTGCTAATAATGAATAAGTATTCAGAAAATATTATAAGAACTATGTTTTTAAGATAATATCATCTATAAAGTATAAAGATACTGAATCATTTAAAATTTAAATTGCATATAATCATATTATATATCACTTGAGTTGTAAAACTTCTAAGATATTACAAAAATTTATGATGTACTTGTTGTATTAAATTTTTGTTGAATAATAGATGTTTTTCGTTGTGGTACAGTTTCAGGTGTAGGTATAGCATCACCTGTTGGCAATACACCAGCTGGCTTTGGCTTAGCTGTATATTTCTGTTTTGCCATTTGATAATCTCCGGAATCAAAATATTTTTGCTGAAAATATTTTACATACAACTTAAAAATTTTCCTTATCCCAACTCCTGTTATACATACATTTATTATAATACCACAATTATTTAGCACTTTAGTTAAAAAATTATTCATTAACTTATAATAGCAAATCTTAGAAAATTTATGTATATATACCCCTTTAGCTAGCCTCTTCTGTAGAAATGCTGAATGTCCACTAATTGGGCGTCCAGTATTTGGAAATTTTGCTCTTAATTTTGCTTCTTCTATTTTTTCAATATCATTTGAAGATAACTGAAACAAAAATTATTTTAGGTTTTTTGATAATTATTATATATATGCATAAAAGTTATATATAAATCATAAACTGTAAAAATTAAGATATTGACACAATTTTTATTTATTTCTAATTGTTTTCAAACAATGTCACCAAACTCATAAAATGTCACCAACTCATACTTGATTTGAATGAAACATAAACTTAAAAATACTACAATTTCCAAATGTTCAAAAGAGAACTCGAGCATGAATTTATTATTTTAAACATAACATTATATTTTAAATGTAAAACAAATAGAAAAGTAAAATTATTATTTCATTTAATACAGTACCTCAACTGTTTCAGACAGTTCACTTGCTTGATCGTTACTCATCGTTGCTGTTTCTAACCACTTTTTTGATGGTGATGGCTTTTAAAATTTCACAGGTATGTATTAATCAAATATTTATTTCAACACTACCACATAAAAGCATATAATAGAGAAACACTAACTTTTTATGTTAAAAAATTTTTTTTTATATAACGTTCGTTTATTCACAATCTTACAAATTTTGTCGTCAAAAACAAATATCTGTCAATGAAAGCAAACTTAACAGATAGTAACAGTCACATACGGCATATACAGTCATGTGACGCAGATAACCGTTACCAAATTTGATCTAGATGTGAATTTTCATAATGTACAGATGATAAAAATCAATAATTACAAGGATTTACAATCCAATTCACCAACTACTATCAATTTATGTAAGCGATTTGTCATCAAATGCTAATAGTTCAATGCAGATATGCATTTTCGACCGATAAAAATGGTTAATATAAAAATTTCACTTCGCCGAATTGCTCTTCATGAAAATATGTCGTAAATTTGCAAATAAACAATTCTTACATTTTGCGTATTCTTTTCATAATAAAATGTTATCGAATTTAAAATGTGTAATAAATTTAAATGATCAATATAAATATTATGTTTCAATATAAATTAAGTTCTTTAATTATGTTTAAGTTGTAAGTTTAATTTAATAAAAATAAAATGCATTTAGGAATAACAAGAAAATATGAAATCGTACTTACACAAATTAAGTATAGAATTAGATTTGTGAAATTTGTGAATTAGAAAAAGTAAACTAAAATTTCTTGATAAAAATTCAGTAAAAATTAAGCAAAAAGATCAAATATATTAGTCATCTATAAAAATAATTTACTAACAATTGTCAACCAATAAGCAGAGTACCATTTAACCAGTTGTACCCATACAATATCTTTATTGATTCGATTTATTTTGCATTTAAAACGCTATTGTCTTAAATTTATTATAAAAGTTTCTTAATCAAATAAACACTAGTGTAAAAATTTAACATGGAATGTAATAATGAGGTAAAGTTATACAATATGAAAATTTAAAAAATATAACTATTACTGCATCATATAGTAATTATGAGTAACTTTTGAATAATAGATGGAATTCTCGCAAAATGACTGCACTTCAAGTACTGCATCAAGTGGAAGATATCGCGAAGAAATTATTTCATCAGAAGAACAATCATTATTACAATTTTTGCAAAAAGGAATGTTAGAAACAAGCGAAGAAAATATAGCCTTTGGAAAGGAAATATTATCATTATTAAATAAATTAAACTTGGAACCACAATCTTTACCCAGTGACATCAAAGAAGGATTACAAAAAGTAGCTTTACTTTTACGATGTGAAAAGTTATATGATTTTGATATTGTTACTCTGAATATAGTAAATGAAAGGAAGAAAATAGAGGAAACGAAAAAACAACATGAAGAAAAACAATTAGCATTATTATATAATGATCTTTCTAGAAAATATACTAATTTTTCAAAAAAACTTTATTGTTTGCAAGAGGAATTAAGTTCTCTTGAAAACTTTATTGAGAAATCTCAAAAAGAGCAAGCAGATATTCACTGTAATCACATTTCATTATTTACAAAATTAAGTGAATATCAGCAAACTGCAGAAAAGTTAGAAACCGACTTAATAGATATGCAAATTGAAGATTTTTATCCCCAAAAAATATTAAATAAATACTATAAATATTTAGAAATGTCAGGTGAATTAGCAGAACTTAATCAATATCTTAATCAATATAAAGATTTACCACCAAATTTATTACAAGCTAAAGCTTTACTTGAAGTTAAAAAGAAGGAATATGAAAGTTTGGAGAATACATTTTTAGAAAAAACAAAATAAACATATAACAGTATTAATTAATATCTTGATTTTTAACTAATACCATAATTTATTTTCTTACTTTTATATAATAATAAAAAAAAAATACTCTATATACACTTTTGTACAAGTCTTTATTTAAAAACCATATTTCGATTGTGTTTGTTTTCTAGTTAATCTATTTTGTGCCCACTGATTCTTTAATTCCATTTCCATTGCCTTAGCTTGATGTGCTAAATATGTTATTTGGTGTTTCTTTTTAGATTGTGAACTTACTCCACCACCTTGCATTGATATTGGTCTCTGTACAGGTTCTTCTGTTAATGCTTTTACTAACCATTCTCTTTCATCTGGTTTAATATCTTCTCCATTTATTTCTATGATATTCATTTCTTCAATTTCTTTAGGTTTTCGCTTCACTCCTCTCTTTCCACAAAGATATTCAATAGCCTTATCATCAAAAGCTACATTACCTTCTGAATCTACATTATATTCCTGTTCAGGCACTGGTAATTTTGGACCTACTTCTGCTTTATTTTTCAATAATATTTCCTCTTTTGGTAAATTTATGACATTACTCACTAATGTCGTCTGAGATTTACTGGTACTGATCTCTGTTTCAGTTATATCTGAATTATCAACAAAGTAATTAGATAAGGTGTTATCTTTTTGGGAATTTTTCTTAAATTCTGAATCAAAGTTATTTAAATCTGTAACATTCAAGGAATCGGACAAAGTGGAAGCATCAGTTGTTGTTAAAGCAAAGAAATCCGCAATAGAATTACTATCGCTGCCTATAATCATGTCATCTTCATCTTCAGAATTTGAATCACAACTTATGGAACTTCTTGTTGTTATAGGTTTCATAGATTTTCTTGTATTTGAATCTTTTATATGTGTATCTTTATTAGGTTGAACTATGATTTGATTAGACTGTTTAGCAGCTTTATTAACAACACTAGGTACCAAATTATTGGTATTTTTGACTTCGGTTCTTTTAGGTGGTGGCAACAATACTAAAAGTTTAGTACCCTTCTGAAATTATACATAAATTTTAATTGAGTTTATTATACATTATTCTTTTATACATATATACACAAATACTTACATTTGCCGGTTTAAATTTACTGGATTTAAACTCATTTTCCTTTGAAACATCTTTAAACTGTAATTAAACAATAGATTAACAATGAATTAATTTATAATAAATAAGAAAAATATAAATACAGATGAAAATTGATCTTACTTCAGATAAAGAAGGCACTGTTATTTTAACTGGGATTCTGTCTTTTTTTACTGGTTTCTCAAATTTAAATTCAGTTTTCTTTTTTGGAAGAATATCATCTTCTACAATATTCTTGGTTTCACTAATCAAACTTTTGGGTTTAGGTAATTTATCAAAATGTAATTTTTCCGATGATCCGTTTGCCTTAAGTGGTTCTATATTAATATCATTTTCATTATCTACGGATATATTATGTTTTGAAATAAGTAATTTGTCACTTATTTGTAGAACTGTAACTTCTGGTGTAAATTTATTTTTAATTTCTGTATCATTTCCTTCATCGTCCGAACTTTCATCGCTACTTTCATATGCAACGAGACTCATTTTCACGAGAAAACAATTATCGTTTATATAAATAAAACTATTGTTTGATGCAACATATACAGAATTAGAAAACTCAAAAAAATATTACCAATTACCAAATAATAATTAGAAATATAACCATGTACAATATACAATGTAGATACAACACTCAATGTACATTGCCGATTTAGTAAAGAATAACTTTAAAAACAAGGATAATTTCTGTCATTGAGTAAGGACAAAGTAGACTTAATATATAATATTTTTTCATGTCCCACATTTTGGGACTTAAACCATTTAATTTAACAGTCTTATCATTATCACATGTAACGTTATCGATTCACAATAAAGTAATGCTTTTGCCGTACTTAGTTCTTTTGTCTCTGTGCCGCGCTTTACTTATTTTTCATTTCTATATTGTCCCTTATTTATGGTTACGAATCGAAATATAAAATTATTCTACAATATAAAATTATTAAAATTTTTTACAATATGATAGGCACATTATTTTCCAGTGCATGTCAGACATTTCCGTATGTTATTATTTTGTATATTTAATCGAAATTATATATATATATATATATATGTGCTTTTTTTAAATATATTGTTTTACAGACGACTTACATCGTTGAATTCAATAACTAATTTATGGAGTCTTACATTGAGCAGAAGTATAATAAGATATCATTTTCCGCATGCTAATGAACGTCGTCGTATTAAACGGTTTGGTTGGAAAACAAGAATGTCAACTTTGGGTGGACGGAAAATTCTTATGAGAAGAATATTGAAAGGAAAATATGTACTTAGTCACTGAGTTTATTAAAATATAAAGTTAATAAATATAACATTATAAACTAAAAACAGTTCATGTATTCATATATACATTATATATTTAGATTTACATTCAACAAGCTTTATCTATTGTTGACATTAAATGCTTAAATTCAAGTTGTTTACACGACCAGTCAAAATATGGCATTAGAGGACTTTCAATTGTTAAAGTTCTTCCAAAAAAATTTGATAGATTTATTGATTTTAAATGAATATGAGTAGGAATAATAGCTTGTTCACTAGGTTTTACAACTAATAATTTTAGAAGTTTTGTATCTAATTTTGGTAGTCCAGGACAACTAAAGAATGGGTCAGCTCTTACATAAGTATTTCCTACTTTTTGAATTCGAGATGCATAAATATTATCTCCTAGAACTGGAGAGTATAACATTGTAGCGGCAAACAGTCTAATGGTACTCTTATTGTGAGTAGATGATTTTAATTGAATCAGGGAACACAAATTAAGTGTAGAGTTGGATAATACCTCATATTCTCCTTTTATTACTTTTACTCTACGCAATTTTTTGTCATTCTGAGACCATGATGTAGTAAGGACTAGCTGAAATTTTTTACGATATTATAATATATGTATTTTAAAAAATTATTTAATAAACTTACTTTTCTTTCTTTAAATTGAGGATTTGAAATTGCTTTTATTGCCAAATGAAACTCACTTTTCAATTGTTTTGGTATACCAACTGTAATTATCCAGTAAGTATTAAGTGGATATTTATAATTGCTATATGAAAGTTCTATACTACGATGAACACGTGAGTTTGCTGCTAAAAGTGCAATACCACTCATATACCTGATTTTTGACGGAAATGTTTCAACAATTATTAATCAACAATTATTAATAAATGATTTGTACTTACATTTCAGGACATTTAACAATAGTTAAATTTGGATAATTTAATTGTGTTGCAATATAAGGTAAAGCATCCTCTAATGTATAACTTACACCATATGGAACATTATTTCGTATCTCATTTATTTCTGATTCAAATATTCTTCGTCTTATTCCATATGGTTTGTTTAATGCTACTAATCCATCTATAAAATTAAAATTAAATTTGTAAATATCATAAGTATATATTAATAGTATGTTATTACCTTTATTATAAATTATATTATTCAAAAGATTATCTGTAAATTGTGAAAGAGATTTCCAAGGATGAATATATTTGTAAGAGTGATTTTTTATATAATTTCTTTTCAATATTTTTAAGCATGATATAGTTGTATACATATATTTGAGTGTATAAGATTTACTTATTAAAATTAGCATTTTGATCAATTTGAATATGACCTTTTTTCCAATTTCATAACAAGATATAGTTTTTAATTCAATTTACAATACATTTGAGAAATGTTAAATTACAAGATATCCAAGAATATATAGGTTAAGCAATCCTGGCGCGCGAACATGTCATTTAAAATAAAGGTACAATCACAACCAAAACGCGTAATCAATTGATTAAACGTAAATAATTGATTTAAATCTAGCCTTAATTACTTTAAGAAGAAAATATCCCATATAAAATATTTATTTTATTAAGTTTTAAGACTATTTCGAAATAACTAATATATACATATATTATAGTATTATAGTATATACTTATTTAGCCAGCATATACTACTTTTATTTTTCATTCTCAGTGTTCATAGAGACATTGCTTGAGGCAGTTAGACAGCAAAATAAGTAAAGATGGCAACCACCGTAGATTCAGTTAGGGAAAAAGCCCTTCAAGATTATCGAAAAAAACTTATAGAACATAAAGAAGTAGAGTCACGTTTAAAGGAAAGTAAGTTAAATTTATTAGATATATTGATCTTATTCATTGTATTCTTATAAAAAATTTGTGATACCTAACCTTGTCTTACATACATGAACTATTATTATTATTAGAAAAATTATGTATGTCTTAATAAAATTTTATTGTATTTTTATTTCTCTAGTGAGAGAACATCTCAAAGATTTAACAAAGCAATATGATAAATCTGAAAGTGATTTAAAAGCATTACAAAGTGTTGGTCAGGTATGTTATAAATCTTACATTTAATTATTTTTAGTATTTTTTGTCAAAGATTTAATACATTTATCCTTTAGATTGTTGGTGAAGTATTGAAACAACTTACAGAAGAAAAGTGTAAGTTTATAAATAAAAATAATGTGTTCATGTATATATGTAAATACTTAGATTTTTATTCACAGTTATAGTAAAAGCCACAAATGGTCCACGTTATGTTGTTGGGTGTAGACGTCAACTTAATAAAAATAAATTGAAATCTGGAACAAGAGTAGCTTTGGACATGACTACTCTTACTATAATGCGCTATTTGCCTCGTGAGGTAAAATTTATTTTGCTATAAATTAATATTATATATTTTAATAAACCTTAAATGTTTATTAATCTATTTAGGTTGATCCATTAGTATATAATATGTCACATGAAGATCCTGGTGATGTTACATATAATGCTATTGGTGGTTTAAGTGAACAAATACGTGAATTGAGAGAAGTCATAGAATTACCACTACTAAATCCTGAATTATTTCAAAGAGTTGGTATAACCCCTCCAAAAGGATGTCTTTTATATGGCCCACCAGGCACTGGAAAGACATTATTGGCTAGAGCAGTTGCTAGTCAATTAGATGCAAATTTCTTAAAAGTTGTATCAAGCGCTATTGTTGACAAATACATTGGTGAATCAGCAAGACTAATTAGAGAAATGTTCAATTATGCACGAGATCATCAACCTTGTATTATTTTTATGGATGAAATTGATGCAATTGGTATGAAAAGGAGATTATGGTTTCTAAGAAAAAACGAAAAAGAAATAAAAAATAAATATTTTTAACTACTTATTTTCATGCAGGTGGACGTAGATTTTCAGAAGGTACAAGTGCCGATCGAGAAATTCAAAGAACTTTAATGGAATTGTTGAATCAAATGGATGGTTTTGATTCTTTAGGTCAAGTTAAAATGATAATGGCTACAAATAGACCAGACACTTTAGATCCAGCTTTATTACGACCAGGTAGATTAGATAGAAAAATTGAAATTCCACTACCCAATGAACAAGCACGATTAGAAATTTTAAAGATTCATGCTGGACCTATATCTAAGCATGGAGAAATTGGTAATTTTTATTTTCACATTCTTTTTTGTGAAATTCTCTTTCTCTTTATTTCACACTTCTAATAATTTTAAATTTAATTCAGATTATGAAGCAGTAGTTAAGCTTTCGGATGGGTTTAATGGTGCTGACTTAAGAAATGTTTGCACTGAAGCAGGACTGTTTGCAATAAGATTAGAAAGAGAATATGTAATACAAGAAGATTTTATGAAAGCAGTAAGGAAAGTTTCAGATAATAAGAAACTTGAATCTAAATTGGATTACAAACCTGTTTAATTTTCATATATTGAAATAAATATTACATATATTGATATAAAATATTGATATATTTATATAAAATTTAGTTCGTTTACTAAATGATGTGTGGAATAATAAACTGAATTTACTTTATTGTAAAACTATTTGTATTTTAACTAATGAAAATATTAATGAAACTCATATTAAACATATTGTTTTTTACAATTATATTTTATTTCCAATATAAAAATCATTCATAACAATATTAGAATTATATAGACAAATAGATTATGTATCAATTGAGTTTGCAAGACGTGTTTTTTTTCGTTGTAAATATTCTTGAACATTATCATATTTTCTTTTATAGAAGATTGGGTATAAATTTTGTTGAGTAATATCTTTTTTTAACGTTTTCCAGTAATTATTCAATTCATTTATTTTATAAATTGTTTTATCAACGAATACAAAATTATTATCTTTAAATTCATATATTTTAAATCCAAGTTCATTCAGTATCCATAAATTATTTTTGTACAGATAGCATTCTATTGGTTCACTATCTGCAATTATGGATTGCACATACATTACTTCAAAGTTTGATTTTGATATGCTATTAATTATGTACACTAATAATAATGAATTGTTGTAAAAACTCATTATAGCTAAAGATGAAGTTGTATCAAGTGCCAAAAGCTTCAAATGTTTAACAGGTAAAACTTCAACAGATTCTTCCAAGTTATAATTATGGAGATGCTCATTGAATTTTTCAATATCATCTTTAGATATTTTATTACGAAAATTAGTACATAACAATTGTTTCCCGATCTTGTAGTTCCATAATATAAACATCCCATCTCCTCCACAAGATATTAAAATATTTTTATCATGAGGTAATTCTAAAATGTTTGTTACAAATTTTGTATGTCCTAAACAATAGCATATAATATTGTATGAATTGGGAAACATAGACACTCTAATTTTTTCATCTCTATCTGTAGTAATAATATACTTTTCATCTTCTGTAATTAATACATCAAGTAACATTGATAAATGTCCTAAAAGTAGGACTCCATTGTCAGTTTGTTTATTAGAAAATAAATACACGTCTCCTGTTTTATCAGCAACAACTATGTCATTGTTTGGAGTAAACTGTACTTTACTAGCAGCTCTAGGAAGTACTTTATTTAATATAAGATTCTGACTCTTCCTTTCATATAAACATAATTGTTTACGGTTTGTATACACAAAGAAATATTTTCCATCATTTGAAAACATTACATTAGTGATCATGTAAAAAGTTTCTATGTTTACATTATTGTGTATATCGACCTTTTTATCAGTTTGTAATTTAGGTAAAGAAATAGTTCTTTCTGTACCATTTTCAATATCATATATTACTATTTGTTCATTATTACAAATAATAATGTCTGATTCATATATACAAAAACTCATGATGGAAAGATGAATTTTTGAAAGACAAGAAAAATAAATTATTTTAATTATAACCTTATTTTTTATATGTATAATCATACATATAATTTTACATGTATAATCATGTGTCGTTATATTCAGAAAAAATAAACTGTTGTATATATGACACAATATAATAAAATTATAAATTATAAATTGAGAAATTTCTATAGAACAAATCCATTTTTTAGTTACATATCACTCATACTGTTAAAACTATCTAATCTGTCGAAATTGTCAACAGCCACTGCACGCGAAAGATTTCGCATGTATAAAGGATGCAAATATAAACTATAATAGTACCAAGTACCAACTTTCACAAGAGAAATCATAAACATAAAATCCAAAAATTTAAGTACGAAATTAAATAGTTGGAAAAAATTATTATACTCTATTGTATAATATATTTCATATTATTGTTTTTAATATCAAAGAAACTACAAAGACATTCGATAAATCGATATTTCTACAAACTATATATATCCCAATTACATGACTTATATATCTAATACTGTTGCATTCTTGGTGCACAATCGTATTATGAGTATGTGTAGATATTGTCTCCAACTGCTAACAAAAATATAAACATGTATATAACATGATGTTAATTAATCACATAAATAATATATTTTTTAAACATCTTTCGCGTAATAAATTGTAATAGATATCCATCATGTTTTGTATCTATAATAGCAATTGTCAATGTGTATAAAAGTGGAACTAAATGACAATATATGCTATTAATACGAAAGGTATACAAATTTTATGAATATTTTTTCTGATTTGCATATTCTTTTCAAATTTTAAATAACGTAATTTTTAATGACTGATTTCTGTATTATTGCAATTACACATTTTTTATATAGGCCATAGGTTAAAGATTTTACATTTATAAATTTTTATATTAACAAAATATATACATTTCAATATGTGGAAACCATTTGAAGCTGGTAGTTCTCCAATTGATTGGTGTGAACGTAATTACAGTATTTCTTCTAGTATTGCAGAATTTATGAATACGGTTTGTATTTTACAATAATATAAATCAAAATTCTTCTTTTCTTTGTTGTTTATATAACATATATTTCTAAGATATTAAATAATTATTGTACTTTTATTTACAGTTAAGTAATGTAGTATTTTTGTTACTTCCTCCTATTTTAATGCATCTCTTTAGAGATTATGGTCGATTTGTGAATCCTGGAATTCATATAATTTGGTTTTTACTGATGATAGTAGGTCTTAGCAGTGCATATTTTCATGCTACTTTATCCCTGATAGGTAAGTGATAATATATCATACATTTATGGAACATAAATAAATGTAAAAATTATTTGTTATTTTGCTATAGGACAATTGTTAGATGAATTAGCAATTTTATGGGTATACATGGCTGGTTTCTGTATGTTTCTTCCAAGAAGATATTTTCCAAATATTTTACATAATGATAGAAAACTTCTTGCCATATGTGCAACTTTACCAACTCTTGTTGCAACTGGCTTATCATTTATACATCCTGCAATAAATGCATTTGCTTTAATGAGCCTTGGTATACCTGCATTTGGATTTATGATCATTGAGTTAAAAAGGTATAATTTTTAATTAATGTCTATGTAGGATTTTATGATGTAATTTTTAATTACATCGCCATGCATGTTTTTCTTAAGGACAAAGTCAATGAGAGTTTATAGACTGGGTTTACGATGTGGTGCTGTATGGTTATTAGCAGTTGCTTGTTGGCTAAATGATCGTTTATTTTGTGATACTTGGTTAAACTTGAATTTCCCTTATTTACATGCACTTTGGCATTTGTTTATTTTTATCGCAAGTTATACAGCAGCTGTACTTTTTGCATATTTCTCTGTGAAAGAGGAAAAGCCACAGCAATCACCAGTACTAAAATATTGGCCAAAGGATGATTTTGAACTTGGTATACCATATGTAACTATTAGAAGTTATGTCAAACTTGATGTTAATACAAATATATAATTACGAACATCAATATTGTAAAGGCTGTTTTGCATTTATTAAATAAGTTGCATAACTTAAATAACTAAATAATTTTACATTTATTTATTTATTATTATAATAATATTACATTTATTTATTATAATTTTACATTTATTTATTTATTAATAATTTAAGACACAATATACTGTTTACTTTGATTATTTAAAAAATTTGACTTTATATCATGGTTTTTATAAAGAAACATATATTTTATATTTATCTATTTTATTTAAGAGATAAATCTATTCTTTTTTTTTAAATTTGTGATATTATTCTAGTTATTACTTTTTGTATAAACATATGTGATTGATGAATTAGTAAAATCTGTAAAGGTGATAATATTAATATATATTTTCTTGACTTAATATTGTAACATATTTGTGTATTAAAAAAAAAAGAAAATAAAAGTAATATTGATATAATGGCTTTTTTATAACCTTGTATTTGTTTGAAGTTTCAGCAAATTTAATATTTTATTTTTGATCTCCTCTGTAAATAACAATATTCTTGTCAGTTTCATAAATCTTTACTTCATATAGAAGGTCTGAATTTGGCATAATTCTTTTTAGTTCATTAAAGATATAAATGGCTACATTTTCAGTAGTAGAAATAATATTTTTGAAATAAGGTACATCCTTATCCAAATTTTTATGATCCAGCTGATCCATTAACACTTTTTTCATATATAATTTCAAATCTGATATATTCATAACCATTCCTGTTACAGGATCCACAGGTCCACGTACAGTCACTTCGACTAAAATAAAATTAATGAAAATTTATAAATTTAATAATAATAGTTAATAATAGTTACCTGTATAGTTATGACCATGTCCCCAATAATTATTACACTTTCCATATATATTTTTATTTTCTTCGTCAGTTAAATTTTCGCTGAAAAATATTTTTGTTTATTAAACAGAAGAATGTTATTTAAAAATAAATGATACAATACTTGTGTAAACGATGACAACTGGATATTACTTCCTTTCTTATTAAATAAGCGATTGGACGTTCCATTATGTGTATTAGTTGAAAATATGAAATGCAATTTCAGAGAGTGTTACATATGCAAAAAAAACAATTGTAATTGACTAATAACATGATTATAAAAAAGGTTGTTCATAATAATTTCATGGCTGCAATAACATGTTCTGCATAAGGATATAATTTTGCATAAATATTTTACAACCACATATTTAACTTTTTACTTATTTATTTTCACTTGTTTATTATTTAATCAGAATTCGAATGAGAAAAGAATTTTCAAAATACTTAGAGTTTCTTGAAACGAATGATAGAAATAGATAACTACTTGTCACTTCAGAAAGATACGATTGAACCAATCCCAATACAATAATTGTATATCAGACTTAAAGAAGGAAACTCTTTGTGATAGTTTGTATCAAAGTGAATAAGTTTATGTTAGTAAAGTTCATGTAATTTATTAACTTTAATTCTTTAAAGCAAAATATCTGTTTAATTTTAATACGATTATAATTTGATTATTAGGTGCATCACATTGGTTGTTCTTGTTTTCAAACCGTCATGCCGGTAACGCCCTAGATCTTATAATAATTAGTCATCTCGTGGAATATGCAATGCTTAATATACTTTAATATAAAAAATATACAATCTTTTTAAACAATAACATCATATTGAAAAATGGATAGCAAGGGTAGAAAAATTATCGTTTGCGATAACGGAACAGGGGTAAGGTTATGATTTTACATTTATTTCTTGATTTCTATTTCATTTAGACCATTTAAATTTACATTTCTAAGAACTTTCTTTTTGACATTATACTTTTGCAGTTTGTAAAATGTGGATATGCAGGAGCAAATTTCCCAGCACATATATTTCCATCCATAGTTGGACGTCCTATTATCAGAGCTGTCAATAAAATAGGAGACATTGATGTGAAGGTATATTTTTTAATTCTTTAATTATAATAAATCGGTTAAAATGTTTTTTATATTTTCAATTATTTATTTGAAAAACACTTTCACATAAATAATTATTAATATAATTTATGGATACATAATATTTATTTATTATCTGTAAAGATAAATATTATATACTATCTTTGGACATCTTATATGGTGTTTTATACCATATAAGAAATACTAATAATTAAATCAAGAATAACATTTTTTTAAATTTGAAGTTTAAAATTTTTTTATTTAGTTATAGGAACAATAATTCATCATATAATTCATCATTTTTTAAGTAATTTATTAATAAATTTACTTAATTTTCAGCAAGAATATTGTATCCGTGTAAGTCACTTCATAATATTATACACTGTGTGCTGTAAAGTTTAAAACTGATTGAAAATGCATTTATTACTTATTAACCTTGTTGTTTACTAACCAGAATTGAAAAGGATTGTGCGTATTAAAAGTAAGATATTTTTAGAAGTCTTGGAATATATATGTTGAAAATTTCATTAGTAACGGTGATAATCACAAAATTATATTTTTCATTCTAATAACATGTAATCAATTTATCATCATACACAATAATACATAATAAATTTTTTTTTATCTGTTAATACTAAATAAATATAATAAGAAATATATAATATTATAAAATACAATGTTTACAGATATATATTTTATATTTATATATGTATAGATTTTTGTATATATTTTTGAGAATTATTTAATATACACTTATAATTGTATTTGTTAACTGATTTGTGTCCTTATATTTGCTCTCATAGGATGTGCTTAACATGCCTGTAAGTTCATTGCATTTTTTAGTGCTAATATTTACATTTTACAATATTATGTCAGTATTTAAAAAATTGAACATTTCCAAAGTTCATTTTATCATTTTTATAATTTATTCAACATTGATGTTTGAGTAAAAATCTAGTATTTAATCTTCTTCTATTTTTTTGTATATTATAATTTAAATTTAAATTTAATATTAAAATTAAAAGACTTGTACATAATTTTTTTTATAAAAAAAATTAGAATGTATTAAATTATTGAAATATTAACATTATTTCTATTTCATGTATATTTCATGTGATAATGATATAAATAGTTATATTTTTTTATTATGTTTCATATTAATAGGATTTAATGGTTGGAGATGAAGCAAGTAAACTTCGGTCTATGTTAGAAATTAGTTATCCAATGCAAAATGGAATTGTTAGGTGCGTATATAACTGTAAAAATATTGTAATTTGCGTGTATTATGGAGTATTTGATCATTTTAATGTATAATAGAAATTGGGAAGACATGTGTCATGTATGGGATTACACATTTGGCAAGGAGAAAATGAATATTAATCCCAGAGAGTGCAAAATTTTGTTAACAGAACCACCAATGAATCCTATCACAAATCGTGAAAAGATGATTGAGGTAAAATAAAATTATTTTTTAATAAAAATTAATTTAATTGTGGTATATCTATTTTAATCATAATTAAATTATTTTGGTTAGGTAATGTTTGAAAAATATGGTTTTGCTGGAACATATATTGCAATTCAAGCAGTACTTACATTGTATGCCCAAGGATTAATTAGCGGTGTTGTAGTAGATTCTGGTGACGGAGTCACTCATATCTGCCCTGTGTTCGAAGAATATGCTTTACCTCATCTTACTCGACGACTAGATATAGCTGGTCGAGATATTACAATGTATTTGATAAAACTTCTTTTATTACGTGGCTATGCATTTAATCATTCTGCTGATTTTGAAACAGTTAGAATGTTAAAAGAAAAATTATGCTATATTGGCTATAACATTGAAACTGAAGAAAAATTAGCTCTTGAAACAACTGTATTAGTTGAATCATATACTGTAAGTGAATTTTGTAATATATAACAAAATTTATGATACTAAAGTTTATTTTGTTAAATTTTTTTAGTTGCCTGATGGGAGGGTAATAAAAGTAGGTGGAGAGAGATTTGCAGCACCAGAAGCTTTATTTCAGCCTCATTTAATAAATGTTGAAGCTCAAGGAATTGCTGAACTAGTGTTTAGTACTATTCAAGCAGCTGATATTGATATAAGGAGTGAATTATACAAGCATATTGTTTTAAGTGGAGGCAGTACAATGTATCCTGGGCTTCCATCTAGACTTGAAAGAGAAATTAAACAACTGTACCTTCAAAGAGTATTAAAAAATGATACCTCAAAGTTAAATGTAATTATAAAATATTTTATATTGCCTCTGCAATTTTTTAGTGAATATTATATTTCTTTATCTTTCAATATTTTTTCAGAAATTTAAGATAAAAATTGAAGATTCCCCGAGACGTAAAGATATGGTTTTTATGGGTGGTGCTGTATTGGCAGAAATCACAAAAGACCGAGAATCAGTATGGATAACAAGAGAAGAATATGAAGAAAAAGGTCTTAGTGTATTAAAAAAATTAGGTTCTTATGAATCTTAAGGAAAATAGTTTTTAAAATATAGAAAAGAAGTACGCATTTTTTTATATATTTGAAGTCGTTCTAAAGTGCAAAGTATATATATTTTACATCCATGATTGATATATACCAAATTATTTCAAGCATATACAGGTAATAAATATAATTAGAGAGATATATAATGCAATATCATAAGTTTTACAAAGATTAAGTTTTTTAAAATTAGAATTAATTATATTTAAATACATTAACGTATAATTGTATTGGATTTAAAATGTTATTAAATTTGATTTTTATTGAATTTAATGTAAATTGATTTAAATTTTGCAGACTATCCAACTATTTTTTGGAGTATTGAATATTCCATATATGTACAATTGCCATATAACATATTTGTGGACGATACATTGTAAATATATTTTCCTAGTGCTTTAATTAAGTTCAATCAAATTGCAATCTTTATCAATAAGTATATATCATAAATAAATAGACATAATTATATGTCTATTTTTTCGATTTGCGATTAGTTTATAATATTCAATTTAAATATTGTATCTATAATTGCTCAAAATAACAATTTGTTAATGCAATGGCTAAAATTAAATAATTAAATTTGTAAATATTAGAGTAAAATTGAACTTCATCATTTGTTTCATTATCTTTTATACGTTTTGCAATTTTGACAAGAAACTTTTACGCAAGTGCATTCTTTGTTATAAAATCTTTTAAATTCAAAATACATTTTTTTTACACAATTATTCTCAATTTTGGCTCTTATTATAATTTACAGTAGTTTGTAAATTACCAGAGAAGCATTTTTATATATTTACATTCCCTTTAATATTTTTAAACTGAACTTACTGAAACAAAATTTTAATTTCAATGTTCTAAAAAAGATATGAGGTAAAAATATTTTATATGACATGCATGTATATGTGACTTTTTTTTTCAATTTTAGTTGAATAATTTATAGAAATAAATGTATTTCTCATGAAAATTCTATCACTAATTTTAAAACCTTGTAGATAATTGTTAAAATTGTACAGTATATATAAACAAGCTTTTTCTAATTATAAAAATTAAAAATGTAATTTTCACTTATATCTTGATAATGACAAGGAACTAAATTAAGCTAACGGATTTAAAATAATTACGGTAAATCTACAACAGTCTTTATTATATTTCCCCATTTGACCTTTATACTGTGTATCAATGTACACTTTTTATGTATAAATAAAAATAACAATATAATTTATCATACAGTTTCATATTTAATTGGATATATAATGTAACAATAGATAAATGTGTATATATTCAATTTGTTAAGATTTGTACAAGTGACTTGCGACAGCATTCTGTATAACAATAAAGTAACAAGCTGTTGTTTAAAGAAGTAAATATAATTTACAAACAGTGCTTTAGCGCATGCGTCCCACATTATAAAGTTCTTTTGGAAGTGTATACAATACCTTTTTACTCTTTAATAAATCACTTTCAATATAACAGTTTGTATTCTGTTTTACTAAGCTATGTATATACATCGATCATGTTAAGCAAATAAAAAAAATAGTATATAAAACACTTTCATTACTTGAGAGAATTTATGTTTCCAAATTTCTACCTTAACTTCTGATTTTTTCTTTGATATATTAATACATCAAGAGCATAAAAATGCTTTAATGTAATAAATGAAGAACTGGATGGAAAATTTGGAAGTTCTATCAATTATTCTTAAAATGTAATTGGTTTATCCTTACACTGGTCAATACAAAAGCTAGTGAAACGTTTAAGGAACTTTGGGTATTCTCTTTTATAAACAGCACGTAGAACAGATGCTGGAGCCCATCCACCAGGATTAACTGTGTAAAAAGAAAAATAATGTTATAGATATATTATTATATTATATATTACCGTATTAATAAATATAAATGGTATAATACAAACCAACAGAACAATAAGTTATTTTACAAGTTATATTTTCTCTCTTTATTTCATCTTCATCTTTTGGAGGATCAATGAAAGTTTGACACACAAGACAAACAGTTAAATAAACCCTTACACATTTTCCAGTATTTGGCTGTAAATATTTTATGTATATATAGGAATATTATGTAATTATACATAAATATATATGTATATGTATATAATATTAAATTATATAAAAACTTACAGGATAATCAGGATGTTCTGTACTATGATTACAAACTATCCATAAATCGTGTGCATCTGGATCTTGATCATCAGATACACGTCGCATATGTGACCAAAATAATGCATCTCTTTGACTTGCTGGCCAAATTCGTTTATGTGTTTGTAAAAATATTAGAGTATCTTTGGAAACTTTTTCAACTACAGTCATATCTTCAAGAGTAGCTTCCCATCCTGTTCTGTACTCTGGACTGAAGAATATCTCGCAAACTTCATGACCAGTCACTCCTTTTACAACATGACATGCTTTCAAAGGATCTACCACTAAACCATCCGCTTCTTCTTCACGTCTGTACATGCGCATATCACCATCTTCAGCAAATAATTGCCATCCACCAGCTCCTACTCCCAGACGCGCATAATGCAATTGTTCCATCGTTATTTTTTCTATCTAAAAAATTATAATAAACGAAATATTATAATATCTTATAGATATGATATAATAAATAAAAATAAAAACAATTACCTCTGGCCAAAGTCTATGTTCAATTGCTGACATGGTAGGAGTAGTTAAAACTGATACTGATTTTTGTTTTAAACGATCTCTTAACTGATTTTCTTCATCAATTTTATCTAATCCAGTCTCTACTGCATCATAAAATTCTTCATCACAAAGAGCACTATGTGGACCTTCCTTAAAAATTGAAAAATTTTTTTTACTTATATTATGTTTGTTAATACATTAAACATACAGTTTGTTAATTTATAAAATCCAACCTCATAATCTGGACCTCCATGAATAAGAACTCTAGGTCTAGGAAAGTCACTTTGTTGCATTGTAACTTGTTCTTTCAAAGCTTTATAAAGTTCTTGTACTTTTCGTTTTCTTTCAATTTCTTTTTCCCATCTACGACGCCATGCATCTTCTCGTTGTACCATTAATTCAACACAATGCTGTAATGTTGCTAGCACACCTTCACTTGTAGCTTTAAATGTTATTGCTTCACCTTTGAAGTCCACAGATTGTTCAGCTGGATTAAACATTGTCTCCACTTTATTTTCTGAAATATTTTTATATTTAATTAAAAGCAAAGAAAAAATGTAGTTGTTTAAAAAAATAAAAGAAAATATGAAACAACTGAATATGGAACAAATGAATATACATATATGAAAATTATTACTTTATATACCTTTCGAGGAAATATTTTTAGCATTTTCCACACAGTTATCAAAATATTTTTGTAAAGTATCAATTTGTTTGATCAGAATATCTCTGAAAGTTTCAAGTTCTGCCAACTTTTCTTTTAGTCCTCTAACTCCTCGTTTAGTGAAACTACCTGCACTTGTAATAGATTGTGTATTCGATACAAGTGAAATGGCACTACCATGTCGCTTTAAACTATTCTCACTTCCATAACCTGATTCTGACTATTTAAAATAAATACATATATTTCTTAATAGATTAAAGAACATTTGTTAGATTTAACTAACAATCAATATATGTAATAAAATGTTGATACCTTATATGATTTTAAAATATCTACCCAACGTTGTTTTTCTTCTGGATTGCTTGCTCTTAAATACCATACTAAGCAATCATTTACAGACACATCAAATCTACATTCATCAAATTCGTGAGCCTAATAAAACAAATAGTACAGAGTAATATCATAAGTTTCCATCAATTTTATAGAAAAAAAAACAAAATTGATGAAAGACTGATTACTTTATATCAATCCATACCTTAATATTAGCTTTATACAAGCTTATTGAACCTCGACATCCAAATCCACTGTCCTGCTCAGATTTGTAATAAGATAAAGTACCATCTTTGAGAACAATAAATCTAGTTTGCCAGCCATGTATATAATTTGTCCATTTGGATAATGTACCCTGAAGTTCTGGAACAACAACTCCATCCGAACCTTCTTCATCTACATCATCAGCATCTATCTCTCCTTCCATACATTCGCTATCGTCATTGGCAAGTCGAATTGTTTCTATTTCATCAGCCATTCTTGCAAGTATGTCTCACTTTCGGGATCAATTACTTTTAAAATAAACTCAACATATCCAAATAATATATTTGAAATTATTCTAATGTGGGATAATTTATCGATAATTATTCTACAGTACTTTAAAAATTGCAAAGTAATCGAACAGTAACCGTTCACAAAATAAGTTTCAAAACATATTGACTCTTAATTATCGCGTGTAATCTTATGTAAAATGTCTTATCAAATAAATGAGGCATCAACAGCTTGTATTTTTTGGCAAATAACAAGACTAAGTGGCAAATAGAAAATCAACAGTTTTATTTAAGCAGTATTTTCATGAATGTTACATGCGTGCTACAATCTTTCTTGATTGGTCATATTCTTGAAAATTGAATATTTTTAATACTTCTTAAATGTTATTAGGCTAAATAAATGATATCTTTTTTTAACTAGTAATAGATAAGAAAGAGATATTCGAAGTACAATATAATTTGGTTCTATTTTCTTATAATGATAATTATGTTAATACGATTTAAATATCGATTAAGAGTATCAATAAGTATCGATAATTTGTAAGTCGAAGCATGTATCTGATATTTACAGTTTAAACAAGTTTTTAAAATGTACATACAATTTTCCTACAATGCAATATTTAAAATAAATTTAAACAATTCTTATTCGAATAGAATTTTTTTAGAGTACAGATAATGCTGACAATCAGACTCATATACTGAATAGTATTTTAAGATATTTGAAATTATAATATAAAAATTCATAATTCTTGCATTAAATGTATCTGTAAAAAAAGACACATATTATTATGAAAAAAATAAAAAATAGCTTGCACAGCTATCAAGATATTTATATAGTATATGTGTGTGTGTGTGTGTGTGTGTGTGTGTGCGCGCGCGCGCGCGTGTGTGCGTGTGTGTATGCGTGTGCGTGCATGTATTGTATTTTCAAAATGAGAACATTTGACAGAAATGACTGTATTGCAGGTTTCTATGGAATTACCTAATCTGAAGTATAAGCATGTTCCATTAATAAAACCTAAACTAATTGTAATATTACCAATATAGCCAATTACCAGATATAACAATTATGCAACATATTGATGAAAATTTGAATTTCACTACATAGTGAAAGATGAAGAAGACAGAATATTATTCAATAATATTATGAGTTTACTTACATTTATTGAATGAAGTTTATTGTTCACAGTAAACTTTGTAGTCTTTATTCAACAAATAAAACACTTACTTATTTAAAACAAATATTCAATTGTCAAAATGGTGCTTTAGTATTTTTGTCTGCCTCTAATAGGAGATTAATTATTTATTATATGTTATTTATTGCACATTAATATTAAATGTACATATTTAATTATGTACATAACTCTATGCACATTCTTTAATATGTAATTTAAGTTACATAATTTTATAAATAGCAGAATTTGAAATGATTTATTATAACTGTAATTTTAGACACACACACACACACACATACGCGCGCGCGCGCGCGCACACACACACACACAGTTCCTAGCATAATGTTTATATGTAACATTATACATTTATTTATTTGATATGTTTAATTTTAAATAATTATATATAATCATTTAGTGATTCAAAATAATTATGTCATAACTTATACTGTAATAGAATTATTTTGGAGTATAGTTGATATCGAATATCCTCAGCTGATATGAAATTTAGTTTCATAATTAATTTTGTTTAAGATTAAAAATATAAACTATATAAGCATAAAATAGATTAGAAATAAAGAATTATTTGACAAATATTTATAATCTTTATCTTTATGATTTAAATTAAGAATAAGAATAAGAAAAAATATAAATTATTTATAAATAATATTTATTATAAAATTAGATGTACAGAAAGAGGGACAGTCAAATTTCTTACATACGTATAGAAAAAAATCTCTTGTACGATTTAGAATAAATATATGATTAATGTTTTTTTGTAATTTTAAGTAATTTTTCATATTTACTTTTACTAGAATACCATAGTGCAAATGGAATAGCTAATGAAGGTAATGTCATCACAGCAAATGCAGCCCAGTCAATCTAAAATAGTATATAAACATTTTACTTTTTATTACAATCACCATAATTTATATAATATGCAATAATTACTTACCACATGCGAAGAAAATTGTTTATTGTAATCTCTAAATGATACAATTATTGCTTCACCAGGCTCACTACTTGCAGCAAATTGTAAACTACCAGCATCTTCTTTATGTCTATATAAAACTTCTGCAGATGTGAAATTAAAATATCCAAATTTACGTGGTCTTACAACAACTATATGACTGACATTTGTATAAGGAGGAACACGATCTATTCTTGCATTTAATTCTCCACTAACATGAGTAAAATGATCAGGATGGAAAGAATTATCTGTGATTTCAACTTCTAATGCAGCTGCATTACCAACATTATAGACTGTATACTATAAATAATAAATTTTTTGTAATTAAAATACAAATATTAATCATACTTATTATTGATACTTACTTTGATTACAATGTCCATATTTTCTACAAGATATTTATTAAGTAATTGTTTAGATACTAACAATCTTGCAGATTCTTCTTCTTCTTCTGCATATGTCACAAGAAGAAAAGCAGCAAATGCTGCAAATATGATATGCCACTTCATGCTAGAATATTAAAATTTGAAAAGATATCACTAAAAATTATATCATTTATAAATTTTGTATGTCTTATATATTTTTAATTATACTTCAACGATATAAATAAAATTCACATATTAAGTTACATAAATATATGATTTTAATAATAACAATAATCATTGATTTTTATAAAATTAATTATAATTATTAAATTATTAATTATAATTTATAAAAATTCAAGTCATATATATACATCATTCAGAAAAAGTCATTAATTTATCATTTAAAAGTGTAAAATAATACATTTGTTATTGAAATGTTTCAAATAAAAACCACAACTGTTTCCATTATATTTACAAAAGTCTCATAATTATAACGAATACTTTTATAAGTTTTATACATACGATAAAAATTGTTACCTTTTTGTACAATGATACTCGTGTCACTCAAGACAACGAAACAATTATTCCATTCGAGCTGGAAAATACATTTGAGAGAAGTGCCAACAGTACATACTTTGATGCCACGTTTCGTCAAAGGAAAACACAGTCTTGCTAGTAATTAACTTCCGGTACCGGCTATTTAATAAAATGGCGGTGAAAACAAACTGTTACTTTGAAGCACATCATAAAATAACAAGGTATTGTTCTTAATTGATCAATAATAATTTTGTACAATAATTTTACATAATATTTATATTCAGAGACTTGTATTAATATTATGTATATTCTAAATAACGACAGTAGAGGAGTGACAATTAAATCAAGAATTAGAAACGAGAATTGAGGAAGGTTAGGATTCTACGTATATATCTTATGAGTATATATTGAGATTATTTTTGATGTCTTATCTTGTAATATTTTAATAATAAATGTGAATCTGAAATTATGCATATGCAGATATAAATATTATAAATGGTTGATTAGACTACTAACAATTTGTATGTGTAAAAAACAGCATATGATTTTTCTTCTATTTTTTGAATAGTCAAATATTTTAATATTTCTTATATATTTTATTTTATTTTGTTAACATTAAATCAATATTATTTAGAAGAAGACAAGAACATACAAAATTATCATAGAGATCATCTTAAACAGTAAATGAAGTCCTATAGATGTCGTTAGAATTCGTATAAGAAAATGCTGTATATCGTTGAAAGGATTAGTGTATAAAATATTAATTAATATGTGAAATTATAATAAAAATGTCAAATCATGGGTAGTGAATATGACAATTACTAAATATTGATGTTGATGTGAAACATGTTTTATTTTCGAACAAATTTTACGGTATGTTGATCATTTTATATTTTTTTCGTTTTCTAGGTTATGTCCATTTTATGCTTATACAGTTTTATTTAATTTTTTATGAAATCTTATTGCTTATTATTGATTTTATTATATAATTATAATAATTTCCTTAGAAATTTATTTGTACGTTTTCGTATTCATACATGCACATGGTAAAATGTTCGAATTTTTCATTAAAATATTCGAGCAGTTTGACATAAAGTAGGACACTAATGTTGTACCTTTTAATTAAATTTCTCGTTTATATTATTATGAAATACTTTATCACAATATATATATGTACAAGTGATAATAGAATATTAACTATAAATTAGAACAGTCTTATGTAATCACTTAATTAAAATTAAAATTATGGCATTCTATCCATATACATAGTATCTCAATATATAAAATTAAGATCTTATAGAAACTAATAGCATTATACCATATTTATACTTTTCAATACCAACAATTTTATGTCAGTAATTGGGCAATTTAATTTTTATGTAAATTAATTTAAAAATTAAGTTTTTGGGAATTGACTTTGATATACGCAATTGTAAATATTAAAGTTGACCTGCTTAATTCTTTTAGAATTCTTATCTAGCCATATGGAATTTTTAGATAGATCCTATAAATACGACAAATGAATATGCTGCACGCGTTTCTTAAGAGAAACCGCGTAAATACTTCGCGATTACAAAGTCATGGATGCTCTTTGTCTTGTGTGGACTTCAAATTATATTAAATACATATAGGAGGATTACAATTTAAGTATAACTTTCGATTTTTTTGAGTCAATAATAAATTGTTTTACTCAGTATTGAACCGTGATAATTATTTAAATCATTCCTACGATTAATAGATCATAAAGAAAGAAGCTTTATTCGACGATTCTTTGATTTTTGAATCATTGCAAATCATCTAAAATTTTGAAATTGATTGATTCGAATTTTTGAAATTAATTATTAATTAATATAGTCTGTTTTTGAATGTGAACTAAATAGGTTTTCATTTGTATTAAAGAATTCAGTTGATTGATCACTTGTTGTGATTGGTATTAATCAATATTAATCAATAATTGTAATTGCAATCGTAATTTGGATAAAGTAACGAAATTCGATTCTGATGAGAATGGCGTCCTTCCTGAAACAGAATTGGCCACTGCTGTTGTATTTAAAATAGTTCCGGGAAGAATGGTTTGTGTTTAAAATCGTTTATAAAATGTGTTATAAACGATATTTCTAACCATCCTTCACGTCGATGTTTCGAATATATATAAATGAGTTTTCTTAATTTAGGATTGGCATTGAAATCTTAATATAGATCCATTAAATGTTTTGTTTACATTTTTTGCATTTGGAAATTGGCGTGGGTGATTCCCGGATATGTTTCATATTCGTTTTTCGCGGATGTTGTATATCTGCCGC